CTGGATCTGCAGAGGTTTACAGTAGTGGACATTGGCACTATCCTAGGCCTGGCCCATCTAATCACTGAGGTGGACGGGTGATTGCTCGTCAACAGTTGGATAGATTTAAGGACGATCAATGAGATCGATTGAAAAATTACCAGATCAAACTGCGCCGCCTCAACAAACCCAGATGTTGCACTCTGGGGGACACGGTTAATCTGCGAAGACATTTCAAGTGCATAAGTAAAAAAAGAAGAGATTTTACCCGATGTCACTGCTCCGATGTCAAGTAACAGTGTTGGATGAAATCTTAGCAAATTACATGGGCATTAGAATTGCCTATATCTTGACACCAAGACGGGGCCGAGGCGAAGATAACATGGGGCACAGGACACCTAGAGCTGTGAGGGTTACGTAGAAATAATAAAAGAGTAATATTTAAACTAAAGTACATAAGATCGAGATATTAACTAGAGAATTAGGGAAGTAGTAATATCAAGAACAATGAGTGCAAGTGTAGATACTAGGGCCCAGGGATGTCTGGGCAGCCATCAGCGGCAAAGAATGTAAGACCATTTATAGAATAGACATCAGATGTCGAGAGAATATAACAGAGAAACCACTGGCAGACGAACTCAAATTGGTGTCGCCTTGTTGTGACCTCATGGCGATATGGAAACAACAATGAGACATCAGAATGTAATTGAGAGGGGAGGTCGAGATAGTTACGTTGAGAGCAGGAAATGGGATTTACATGCACATCGGATGGTGTCAGAGCATGTACCTAGAGAACAAGATAAAATTACAACCAAGGGCGGTGATACACAGTGCCCTCCAGAGAGCAAAGAACACAAGCAAAGTGTCAGAACTTAGGTACTGGGTAATGTGCTGGAGTTCTACCATGACAGGGCATAAGGGTGGGGGGTACACAGGACGTCGTCAGGATGTCTGATTGATGTGGTAGCAAGGGCCTAGAGGCACTGGATGTAAAGAAATAGAGGGTGGTAACACGGAACACATATGACATGTGGGACATTGCGATGCAACTCTAGACGGTTAGGACACAGGGGATGCAGATGGTATGCAATATGCGTCAGGATGCTGGGCCAATGCACCCGACCCAGGGTAAAATTTTGCTGATATATAGATTGTAGTTGTACCCCAGATGACTACATGATCCTTTGTCCTAATGACCTCTTCCTAAGTCATGTGCACTATTCCTATAACTCCTAAACAGGTCATGTGTATAGTACAAGCTCTCCAAAATGTGTACCAGGTTGAAAAAATGATGTTACATGTGGTTGTGCAATTTGACATGCCAAGACTTGAGTATTGGCATAACAAATGAAAAAATAGCGTTGGTGATAAAGGATTTTCCATATTAGAAACACAATTATGTAAGAAAATAATACTTATGATATGTACAAAGTAGAGTAAAGAAAGATGTATAATATTATACATGATACCATATTCTATATTACTCTAGTACTTGTATATCAGAAACCCGCTGATGGCTTTTGTATTTATGCTTAATAGATGCTTCAGATTGAGGAGTTCTATATGATATTCCTTAACAATATGAATCCATAATTTGCTCTGCTCGTTTGCCATATTTCCATATAAATTGATCTGAAACAGAATCTAAGGCCTTTGGAATGGTAGGTCATAAACTTGATAGAATATCGGCAGTTATTTCAAGTATAGCACTTGGCAGCATCCCATACATACTCAATAAAGTTAATTTCACAATGGAACTTTGGATAAAACAGGACGTGGTAGCCTGCTGCCTCAATCTCTTCCTGCAAAGGGCATTTCTGACTTTTGAAGTCTGGCTGATTTGCAATAATTGCACAGGCACAGCATTCTCTACCAAGTAGACAGGTTTTGAGTAGTTTGTCAGTTCCCGGCTTTCTGCATTGTAGATGGAGCCCTCTTCTTCACAGTTCCCGCTCTTTCAATACTTTCTTCAAGCCTTTTGCTGTACTAAAGCTGTCTACCATTGGTTGAATTTCACCTATAGCGGAATTGAACCCTGTATGGAGTTTACTTTGTCCTCCACCAGGCCGCAGGCTCATGTTTTTAGCACGTAAAGCATCAGGTGTAAAGGCCGAATAGCTGGTAGTATTATCGAAAAGGAAGAGGACCTGGCATCTTGGAAAAGCAGTTTCAAATATTGGAATAGCAACATTTGTAACCTGTAGCACAAGAACTTCACCGACCCACTACTTGTCTTCTCA